CCCCAACCCAAAGACCCCTAAGTGGSGCAACCCGGAAAAGCCGCAGGCRGCAAGGACTGACGCGAGGGGGGTACCCGATGTGTCAAAACTGGACACAGACTGTSCCTGACCAAGCGACAATATGTTGACGAGTYRGGAGTGAGAACGTGTTAACCRGTTTAYATAGCCAGAACACGTTAAGAATGTTTTATATCACGCCCCGTCTGTAAACTGTTTCATAAGGAATGCTTTTCCATGCAGCACCGCTGCACGCACATGCAGGATCTAGCAGCACACAGATCAAGCTAGAGTCACTGTGGGAGCAACCTTCTCAATAACTGGCGAATTTCGTTGCTTAAATTGGCTGACAAAAAACTGAGACACTCTCATTTTTCGCCAACRCAGAATGTAGAATTACAGCTCTTCAGTGATGTGAAAAAAAAAAAGATGAACGTCATGCGTGAAGTAAATTTACCCGATAATGRTCTTTGCTCAACCCTCCTCATTCACGACTGTACCTGCCGTCCCTCACTGCTAAYGTGATGTAAGCGCAGAATGTCAGACTACTGAATAAAACCAAGGAACAATGGTGGACAGGAYTAATCTAAAAATTAGTTCCACCTAAAACATAACTCCAATTTTTAGGTCCCCTAATTCTAAAGCACTAATGCACTAAAAGTTTTAGCAAAAGCTAATTTGTAAAGCACTAAAATAACCCAGTCAATCCATGAACATTCTTCAACAGACAAGTTGAGTCACGTCATGTTGCTCTCTTAAGACTTATAATTGACATTCCACAGCTTTATTTGAGTTCATATATTGTCAATATATTGTCACCAAGTGGATAAGAGACACACATATGAACAAAATGTGTGACAGCTTTCACCGTCAGCTGTTAACATTAATGTTGATCAGTAACATTTATAGACCCCAGTTAGTGCTTCTAAATTTAGCCTATAGATTTAGCAAGTGCTAATCCACTAATAAATTTTAAAATGACCAAAAGCCCTAAAGCACTAATCAGGAAATTAGTTCCCCTATTAGTGCTTTAGGGGAACTGTGCCCACCACTGCCAGGGAAGGAAGAAAAAATAGAGGAGGGAAAACACGACACAGACATACAGTAAAAAAATAAAATAAAATCAAGAAATAGTTCATGTTGCAGAGAAAGTGTAACTTCAGCTGACTGCAATTTGCTGATCAATAAGCAGTATGTACATTTTGAAAATAAAAATACCATCTATCAGGGTTATTATAGTTAACTAAAACTAACTAAGTAATGATACCAGAGATTGAAAAAAAACATTTTACTTAACTGAAATAAATAAAAACTGTAATAAAATGAAAAAAACTATAACTAACTATCGACTAGATTACTGTAACTCACTCTACTTTGGAGTATCCCTCACACATCTGCAGCTGGTCCAGAACGCTGTTGCCCGTCTTTTAACAGGAACACGTAGAAGAGAGCAGCACATCACCCCGGTCCGGCTTCCCTCCACTGGCTGCCTGTGTGTTTTACAGTTCATTTTAAAATCCTTCTGTTTGTTTTTAAGGCTTTAAACAACCTCACCCCATCCTATTTAACAGAGGTTCTTCACCGTTACGCTCCTCCTCGGTCACTCAGGTCTGCTGACCAGCTGCTCCTGGTCATTCCCAGTTCTAAACGAAAGCTCAGAGGAGATAGGGCCTTCTCTATTAGTGCCCCTAAACTGTGGAACGCCTTGCCCTTGCATGTCCGACAGGCCCCTTCACTGTCCGTTTTTAAAACTCGTTTAAAAACTTATTTTTTCTCATTGGCCTTTAACCCAACTGAGATTTGATTTTACTCAACTTTTACTGTATTGGTGCTGATTTTACTTATTTAACTGTGATTTTATTGTGTTTTTGTATTGAGTTTTTATTTTTGTGTTCAGCACTTTGTTTCAGCAGTGGCTGACGTTATAGCGCTTTATAAATAAAGGTTGTTGATGATGATGATGATAACTAAAAGTGTATAATCTTGGGTGGGTTCTGCATATGGTTGCTGGTGGGGCTCTCCTGGTTCTCTCCTGTGTTCCTCTCTGGGGGTGGGTGGGTGGTTCTCGCTGCGCGGGTGTCATTGGGGGCTCGGTGCTTGGGG